AGGGCAGGCTAGGTGGGGTAGTGCAGTTTAACTAAGAATAACAGGGAAAAAACAAAGGTTAAAAAAAAAGAGATTTATTCTTCTTACAAACTCAGGTAATTCTCTTTATAAAAATCTAAATCCAAGGACAAATGAAAAACATCCCTGGGGAGATAAAGGTTCTTTAACCTGAACAGAATTAGAAGAAAAAAAACTCAATTTACAAAGTCCACTGTTTCTCAGGCTACAGGGTCTTCTTTCAGCAGTGTGCTCTCTGTCCCTCGGCTCTGCTCTCTGCAGCTCTCCACTCCTGCTTCAATTAGGTGGCTCAAACACCTACACCTGGGTGAGTGCTGAGGCATTCTGGGAGCTGCAGCGTGTACATCAGCCATTTTGTGGTGTGGCAGCCGATCCTGAATGGGAATGTAGCACCCCTCTACTACCTGGCCCTGTGTGATGCCACAATGTGCTGGTGACATAATCAAAATGTGTTGGGAAGATGGATCAATTAGATAATTTGCTCTCTACTCCAGTGATTATCTCCCTGGGGCTTAAATAAACAATGGCAGGCTGATATATATATATATAACCTAAACTGACACAAACTAGTCAATGAGTAGAGAGAATACATTGTTGAATATTGTTAAGTGATGAATTACACTATGGTGACAAATTCTCCAAGATAAACCTCCTATCTTCGAGCTCATGTATTTTTGTCTCGGAACCCAAAGGATTTTTTGTTTCAAGCTCATCAAAGAATTCAAAGAAATGCAGGAGGCTTTTTGTCAGATTAAGAAGAGCACTGATGTCGACATGTACTGATATGCATCTTTTGGCACAACATGCCAACTGATACAGAGACAAAGGCATAAAAAGTATTAGTTCAGTTTAATTTCCTGTATTCAAATTAGAGCTGTCATAATCAAACTGTAGAAAGTGTGAAATCACAATATTAACAATAATAATTATATTATAAGTCAAATTTTATTTTGAATATTGTTCATTGAATGTTTTTGTCGGAATCATATTCAGCTGGAGAAGCTGCACCTCCATCAACTTTTTGAGTCCCTGCAGAATCCACTGACAGAATGGAACTGACTCTGTGGGAACTGTAACGTCATCCACAAACACCCTGATGCTGAAATGATTTGGTTTTGGGTCCTTTGCACTCTGGTCCAGCAGATTGTGCGAGCATCTTCTTGGCCAGGGAAAACAGAATCACAGACAGCATCCTGTGATCATCTCAATCTCAATTTTCTGCTGGGGACATGGTTTTTGTCAGTGTGAGCTGTGCCAGCTTATGTGGTATTGAGCTTCATGCATTTTCCAAGTGACAGATGGCCCTTGTTCTCTCTGCCCTCCCTGATGAGCTGGGTCAGTCATCCTGGCATTCCTGACATACACTCTTCTGGACGGATCTATCAATGAAGCAGTTCTTTGTGACGAAGGCACATAGCCAGTTGGAAACAATACTGAAGAAGATCTTGGCTCAATTGATCCTGCCCCTTTTCCAGATGACACGCAGGACCTTACAGGTGATGCTAAGGTTTAGGGTAGTACTTGTTCACTTAGTACAATATGCAAGTTTTTCCTGGAGCAGAGTTTGCTCATGTTTTCCTAACAACCTCTTGGACTTCTGTTCAGCTTGCAGTTCTGAAATATCGAACTGCATGCTTGGCTCAGTGGGATCTATCAGAAGATGCTCTATTTCCTCCCTGTGAGAAAGTCAGTCTGCTGCTGTGTTTTTCCCAAGCAGCTCCTTGTTTATTTATAGGGGTTGGCACTGAATGCAGCCCACTTCTGACCTCTTTCCAGGAGGTGTTTGTGATGCCACTCTGTTCTATGGAGGACCCTGATGTACAGCTGAGCCAGCCAGCGCCCCTCTTCTCTTGCCTGCTTGTGCTGTCGTTTTAGGGTCTTCATCTCCTCCCTGATGTAATCTTTACTTCTCTTGGGTTCTTTGCCTGAGGTCCCTTGGTACCTTTCTTCTCCTTTTCACTCAGGTGTGATGCTGATGATGATCGTTTTCATGGCTTCAAGTTTCCTGTTGTCCCCTCATGGTCACCTCCAGATCGTTGTCAAACTGGTTCCACAGTAAGGTCATGTAAGATAGGCCACCTGATTCCCCTCCTCTGTGCTTCTGGGAGTCAGTGGCAACACTTGGAGATTCTGGACACTATGGGTTGACTCTAGACTGGGCTCCTCACTTGGTGGATCTGTAAATTCTTTTGTTTTTGCAGATTTTGCCACATTCACACTAATTACTCAGGTTCAAAGTTGTGTTAGTACATCTGCTAATGCTTCTGGACACATCTTCAGTGATGATCCTAATAACCTAACAACTCATACTTATCCAGCTGGGACTTGAACCATAGGTGCTGTGCCACAATAAAAAAAAATCTACAAGGTGCTCGATTGATTAACACAATATTACCATATGCACAATATTACAGCTTTTCCCGATTGCTAAAAGATTTTTATCCACTCTTCACATATTCAAAACAATCAACACACAGGTTGAAACACATTTCATTTGTAAATGAAACACATGCAACAAAAAATATTTCCCTCAAACACAGTGACAACAAAATACAGCTCTCAATTGGAAGAAGTTCAACCTCACTGTAATTTGTGTTTTATGCCATTTGTTGAATCATTATAGTATTTGAAAGAAAAAACAAAAGCAAACACATCACAGCATTAAATGTGTTCTCGTCTCCCTAATGTCTTGACTAGAGGTGCAAATGTAAGTTATCATATGTCCTTGGGCAAATATACCAAATGAGGTTTCTCACCTCTGTGACTCCACATTTTGGACAGCTGAACAAATCAGCTGTTTGGTTTTTCTTTGTGTAGAGAACAGCAGGTCATAGAGCAAGTTACACTCCCAGTACAGTTTATTACATTTCCAGTACAATTTATTACACTCCCAGTACAGTTTGAAACCTATTTGTCCACAATACATCGTCAGGCCATGATCCAGAAGAATGATGCCTTCATTCTCAACAATGACGTATTGTCTGGTGGTAGTGATGCATATCAGCTGGGGTTAGTGAGTTGTGGATGATGCGGCCAGTTCATTGCAAAGTAATGCAATACTTAGAGACAGGAAGACAAGGATACATTTATTGAAGAAGTCAGCTACATTCATACATATGTCTTTCCTAAATGCAATCTGAACGTTACTGAATAAATTCCAGTCCTAAATTAACTTGGTGTGATTGCAATGATTGGCACCAAGTTGGGGGGCTAGATGTGTTGACAACACAAGGATAGTGTAATATCTCACAATTAAAAACAAGATTTAACATTCATCAAAATATAGAAATGTGTTGTGCAATGAATTAAATAATACTATACTTTATACTTTCAATTCAATGTAACTTTAATTGTAAAGCACCTAATACAGTGGACCTTAAAATTGTAGGAAAACCAAAAAGTTCCCACAAAAACTCCAAAAGAAAAGACTTCCTCATTAACTAGAAGAAACCTCTATAGAACCAGACTCAATGTGCGTGGCCATCGGTCTCGACCGGTTGGGGTGAGCATTTATGTCATCAATGATCTGCTGGCTGCTGTTGATACTGGAAAACCCTCAGTTTTAGTTTTATTAGATTTAAGCGCTGCATTTGACACTGTTTTATTTTGACACCATCCTTTTTTCTCCTAGTTCTCATCTCTCCCTCTATTTGAATCAATACAATTATTACATTTTATTTTATCCTGTTTAACTTTGTTTATCTTGCCTGTAATAAAAAAATGTATTGTTTGCCTTTTAAGTTTTTGCTATTGTTAGCCTTCAAATTTAGATTTTTAACTTATAAATCATCAACTGTGGTTTAAAAGTTGCTATATAAATAAAGTTTATTTTCATTTGGTCCTTATCACACTAATATTTGAAACATGAACACTTAAAGACATAAGTTAATTATTTAGGATTATGCAAAAAACCCTGGATGGATTACCACTAAAAAGAACCCATTCAATTTTGGTGTGGATTCAAATAAATGGACAAATCCAGGAATTTTCTTTCACTTGCTCTGCAGGGCGACCCACAAAATTCATTCTTTCTATTGGCTGAAACAGGGCTGCACGTGCACATACACAAACCCTGCTCTCATGCGCACCAGGTAGACAGAGAATAGAGTGAACTTTCTCACTTGAGAGAGAAATGCATTGATGCCAGCACAACTGCACAACTGCAGCTGAAACTCTGAGGTGACTGTGTGCATGGACGAGAGTGTGGTGATCTGCCAGAGTCTTGGTGAATGAGCTGGTCCTTATGTACAGTAAAGGTTGAAGAGTTGATGTACATGGTGCATTGTCGCTGTCTTCATGGCTGAGTTGAGTGACTTGAGTTTGACATGTTCTCATTAGGCACGCACTTTCATCCAGTAACGTACTACTGAGTGAGGTATTCACAAATCACATGATACTTAAAGTGTTTAAGTTATGAAATCCAAAATGTGTTCAAACTCCAGAGGATTCCTTTTTGTATGCAGTAAATGCAGTACATGTGTTTTTTTCATGCGCTGCTCAAGAAAGTAAAAAATTATATTTCATTCATCCATTCAATCCATTAATATTACTTTGTACCACAGCATCACAAACAAAATTCCAATCTCTTTTATTGTATTAGGGTGATGACAAAATCTCAAAACCTAGGTAAATAAAACAAATCTACCTGTGTCAGTATTACACTATGGTTTTGTGTTGTTCTAACTTTAGGAACATTGTGACTAATATGTTAATAAAGATGCTTTGGTCCAATGTCTCCCCAGACAATGAAATCCAACTGAAGGGGCTGGGCTGGAGTGAAGAGGATGCCACAGTGCCTCCTGTGGGATCTTCAGTGCTACTGTCCTGTCCCCACCACACACTTCTCTTCCTGGATGATGGAGGGAGAGCCCTTCACCTCTGCATTCTCCTCTCTGCTCTACTCTGCAGGGGCACACTTTGTTGCCCTCTCCTCCTCCTCCTCGTCTTCCTCCTCATCCTCAACGGATTCAGTTATCACTGCCATGTCCCTGGAGCAGAAAACAACTTTTGCCTTGGTCATCTTCCTCTTTGTGTTCCTCCTTATCCTTATAGTCCGATGCTTCCGTATCCTGCTCGACCCCTACCGGAGTATGCCAACCTCCACCTGGGCAGATGGCCTCGATGGTCTGGAGAAGGGCCAGTTTGATTATACTCTGGCCTAGGGGCCTATTAAAAAAATTCATCCAAACACATTTGCACATTTTTGCACGCACATACATACAGTGTGTGTTATGTTTCTGTGTTTGCCTTGAGTTCATGGAGGCATTAATCAGTTAGTCACTTGTAAGGTTCTACTCCACACTGCCTTTTTGGTGTGTACATGCACAAGCTAAATGAACAAAGAACAGTTCATTATTAGCATAGTATTGGTGAGTTTTCTGCACATTCTACTCTACATGGATCAAATGCTCTACTCACTGGCCTGGCTGACTGTGAGTATGGGTACCCTGCCTTTTTGATAGTAATGACAGTTTCAGCGACATGCACATTTACCAGAAATGGACGTCTTGAAACTTGGATCATTGGGAGGTTGTTTGAACATTGTTATTGTGCTTTCAGCTGGAATCCAGTGACATTTCAGTCTCGCTTTATTTTAATTTTTTCACTACAATTCACCAAATGTTGAGATGTTATCGAGACCTATCTAGCTAGTTTGTGTCTAGAATGCTAGCTAATGTGCAGTCTCAGTCAATCAACCAAGAATTCCAGCTCATTCTTTGATTTCATTTTATTTATTTTTTATTGGCGCAATACATTTCTTAATAAGCATCATTGAATCTAAGTCCAAGTGTAAGTTCACTTAATCTAAAGGTTTTTTTTTTTACCTTAAATTAATTTGTTTCAAACTAGCACAAATGGTCCATTGAATTTCAGTGAAAATGTTTCTCCTCTAAAATTGCTCTGTAGTCTGAAAACACCTCTAGGTATTAGTTAACCTGGGCTGGTATTATTTCATCATAATGCTGATGTGAATTTTGCTACCAACAAATTTTTTCAGGAAACATTTTACAATTTGTGACAAATAGCTGTACAATACCTCACTCAAGTGAAATATAGTCTAAAATAAGGCTATTGGAATATTACTTTTCAAATCATGAACTGATCTGATCAAAGGAGCGAACAATCTGACAAAATATTCATTTCCAGCTTTGAATATAACAGCTCCTCATTCTTGGTGATACACATCAGTTGTCACACACTTAGAAAATATTGAGTTTTGATACCCAGCCCTACGAACAAAAAGGAGAAGGGCACATGGGACTTCACTTGAAATTTTGATCGTTGAGTTGCTCATTTGACTAAGCTTAATATTATACTGTATCTATTCTCCTAAAAAGATAAGGTTTCAATGTTTTGTAACGCAACCATGGTCAGTTCTAATTTAGCTTGAAAACAAGGCTACATTTTTATAGTGGCAACGATCACATTTGCAGAGAACTGTTCCTTTTGTTGAACTGTGAAACTGTTTTTATTGTCAACACTTCCAGAGACAATGTCCAGCAGGTGCCTCACTCATACAGGGTAGATATTTTTCTTCCCCACACCTCACTGTCTTAGCTTACTTGAGTGTGCCTGTGCTGTGTAAGAGCTTTGAATTGCTAAGCTGCCAAATAAATGAACTTTTGAATAAGTAAAATATATGCATATTCTCTTGTGTTGTTGTGGTGTATTGCAAAATAAGTTATTCTCAAAATCCAGTAATTATATCCACTGTGAAATGTTTTAATATATCCTGGGACACTCCACTCCTAAACTATTGGGCAACTTCACCCCCTACCTTCATATTAATAAAGCAATCAACTGTCAGTAGTGTGGGCTGGACTGAAGTCATGTTTAGTGTCATGTTACACTAGAACTTGAGAATTGTAGTCCAACTACGTGAGAAATGAAACCTGTTTGTCTTATGGGATATATTGACAGAATACTGTTCACAAATGCAGCCTAAAAGAAAGATGCTTTGAAAGCGATATGTGAGCTAGTTGTTAGCTAAGAAGTTATACCTCCACTTCTCATTCTGGGTCAGATGTAGCATCCTTTAAAACTGATTTTTTAAAGAGGTGAAGTGTTACTTAGCACCAATAAGCTGAGGCAGGGGGTGCACACACTCTATAAACTCAGTGGACCATACCATGGATGCAGTAGGTTGTAATCCATGTCATATTAGGAAACAGGGGAGTGAACCTATTTAGTTTAAATCATTTATATCCACTCTGAAGAGAGGCTGCAGTGCAACAGAGGTCAGGTTCGTCTAATTAGACTGTGAAAACGTAGCTATATCTTTCATTCTCAGCAGCAATGTGATGCAGACCAAGCTGTCCAAGTTTAACTGGCTTTCTAATGTGTCTGTGTGAATGCAACACAAATAAAGAAACTGTCAGATGAGAAGATAGAACAATGTTTGGTTGGAAAAAAATATTTTAATTTACCGTGTACAGGGTTAGACAGCAGAGAAAACACTTGAGAAACAATCTGACAATATATTAGCACATTGGAGGGAATTAGTATGATGGTTCATATTCATTAATGCATTTTTAGAGCTCAAATTAAAATGGGATGATAAGTTGCTCTTCAATGACATGACGTTTTTACCTTTTGGTTTTGGTTTGAAGACAAAAATATTGAAACTTGGCGGCAGCCTGGAAGTCAGTTTTACTTACTTACTCTGAAGATATTCCTGAAAGAAACAACTTGATAAGATTGTTTGTTATTGGATTAGAAAGAGAAAGAGAACAGGGTATCCAATTTAAGTTCATAAGCCATACACAAGCAACCAAATCATCTCTGGCCGATTGTTCAGTATGGTCCTCGAGAAGTTTTGTCTTTGCACAGCATTAAGATAATGCCACAGGTTACATTACTGTGACGGGTGAGATCACTGTAGAAAAACAGCTTCATTGGCCTGCTCTACTTATTTCACTGCCAAACTTGCCAAGCACAAGTGTGATATGCACACATATTTGTAGCTAAAAGCAAAGAAACTGCATCCAAATTCCAACAGAGGTGAAAAATCTGCTGCAATGATATATGGAAGGTGACACTATCTAACAATGACTACAAGCAATTACTAAAAATTAAGAAAGATATCCTGATTTTAAAAAGCTTATTTATAGTTTATTTGGATTAGTTACTTGTTAAGAGCAATTCAACTCAAAGAAGTAGAATCCAACTATAGAAATACTCCTGTGAGGATGTTTGATGGTAGTGGCTCAGCTTCTCAAGCACATAGAGAAGACACACACACACACACACACACAGATCTCTTAGATGAGAGCCGTAGCCAGTGATGGATTTGGTTAGAACAGATCGTTTGATCTAACACTTGTGTTATCTTCAAATTTACTAACATCATTTATCCTTGAGGTTTGAACTGCATGTGTAAAACGTGTTAAATGAGTGTAAAAAGAATTTCCCCTTGTGGGATAAATAAAGGAAGTTTAAGTTTAAGTTTAACTTAACTCCTTTAGGATAGGAAACAACAGACTAGTCCTTTATGAAAGGAAAGGAGAAATTGTAGCCCCACAACTCTTTGCGGCAGCAACATTTAAATAGACTCAACCTCATGTTTGCACCTGGACACACCCAAGTAAATATAAAAAACAGAACAG